CTCATTGCATGATTAACCTCTCTATGCTGCCACCAGTAACCTAATTACAATGACACACTACCAATAAAAAAAATAAAGAGGACATGCAATGTACTGAAGATGAAAACAATGACAATGCTACCTAAAAGAGAATTAAGAAGAATTAGAGAAATTTAAACCAAAAGTAGTATTTATTTAGACTATCACATTAAGACCAAGTATTTGGACTAACGTTATTATAAAGTTGGAAACATTTATTTTAGTGACAATTACAATCAATCTCTCATATATTATCTTGATTTTATATACTTTAAATTATCGATTTAAATAAACAAATTCAACATTTAATTACCTATTCATAAACATTTCCTATATAATATTGCATTCATATACTTTAAAATACTTATTTAAAAATAATCATTGGGTCTTCAAAAATAAAATAATCATTTGGCATTATCCTATTCGCGCAAAGCGCGTAAAAAAACTATGTTGGGAACAAGTGTAATTAGATTTTGATGATACCAAACACTTAGGAAGTTAGACCCCTATTTTCTTTCAATTCGTTCAGCATTCGTGTATTATTGAAGAGGGTCTGAAACTTAGAGAAATATTCGTGTACAGTCAAAAGACAACACGAATCTAGCTTTTGAAGAAGAAGAGAAGATCAAGGCAAGGCCGATAGAACATCTTAGACCGAAAGATGGAAGGGTCTAACTCTCGTGTAAACGTCAAATGATAAGGAAGATCATTTGACTAGAAGGAAAAACGAAAGATAAGGACAATATCTCGTTAGGCAATCCCAAGACTAAACGTCTAAGCCAGACTTGAATAGACATCTTCTACATGTGAACAAGATGAATGTTCATCTATGTCTTAAAGCAGGGAAATCATCCTAGACAAAAGGAGTCCTAGGATTGATATTTTCAAAAACCAATGAGCATTAAAAAATTAGTACTGTTGTCAGTGAAAAAGATAAACAACTTTTGCTACCAACGGCTACACAGTACAACCGCATTTAATGCTCTATGCCTAGTGGATATTACACACTGGTTAATAGGTTTGAATCTCCATTTCCCTCCAACGGATGGATTTTCTTCTCCTATAAATACCTCTCTTCACCACTGAAGAAGGTGCTAGTTTTTCATTCATTCATTATCTACAAAGAGCTTTATTAACAAGTATTATCCAAAAGCTTTCAAAACCAGTGTGTTGTTGTGAAGTATTCTTTCAGAAAGATCCTTTAGACATCAAGTCTTCACAAGACAAGGAAATCTTGTAATTTATATTTGAAGATTCAAACTTATCAAGTCAAGATTCCTCAAGTTGGAGAACGTCATCGATTCCTTCCAACCCTCAACTCTGAAGAAGACGTTGATAGATGCGGAGTAAACTCTAGGAGTTGAAAAACCTACATATGTAGCTGTCCGGCTCAGTGATCAAGGAAGCTAGCTTGTTTAGTTTGTACTAGGAGTGATAGTGCAAAGCCTTTCACGAGTTGTGAAAGAAGAGTGGAGTAGGCTTTGTTAATAGCCGAACCACTATAAAAATCCTTCTCTCACTCTCTCCTTACTTTCGTTTATCTATCTATCTGGCATTGCATTCACACTGATCAAATCCTAAGATTTTCCATAACGAAATCGTGCAAAGAATATCCTAAAACAAATTCACATTTTTCTATTGTGCATAACTTCCGAAAGGAGTTGTTTTTAAAATTCGAGTAGAGTCTATTCACCCCCTCTCCTCCCCCCCCCCCCCCCCCTCCGCAACTCTAGACTCTCTTTCGATCATACCAGGACAAACAAACTAGTTTAGTATAGTATGTCTCTATGTTAAACACTATGTTTATTAACATTGGCACTTGGAAGTTTTGAAACTTGGAACGGTAATTTAGCATTGGATGTTTACTATAAAATTATTTATTTGTTCATTGTTCAATTCATTAACTCCTCCTCGGTCCTAAGTAGTTATTTTGATCTGGTTATGCTCGTAATGCTATTTAAATTTTAATAGATGTGTTAATCATCAAATTGGTTTTGATTTCTACTGCATTTTGGTCTAATTCGTACTGTAATTTGGCATGTCGTAGACTACCTTGTGGCAACATTAGGTTTCTTGCTCTATGGGGGAAGGTAAATAACAGGACAGTATCTATTGTCAAAATTGTTATTTTATTCCGTGTTTAAATATTAGTCATTACAAATACGGAGTAAAATAGATTTTGACATGTGAAAAATGGTTTATTGTGTTTGTTTCTCTATGTTAGTAATATGCTCTGATCTCTATCCTTTTCTTCTACAAGACTTGCTGGCACGTTTTTAAAACTTTAGAAAATTATTATCTTTGTATACTAATTAGGTACTACTATATAAGTACATTATAAATGAATATAAGTTGATGGTCGATATTACTATAGGATGGAGCTTATTATTGGGTGTTTATGGCATCTATGTATGAAGTGTAATATATATATATATATATATATATATATATATATATATATATATATATATATATATATATATATATATATATATAATGATTAAAGTAGTTGTCAAGACCTTGTGGTCTAATGGCACTAAGGTTGGACTCTTATATGGGAGGTTATGAGTTTGAGCCTCAAAATGTGGTTGAAAAAAGGTAGTGATAATTTTTGGTCTTTATATTGTTGTTTTAATTAAGAGCTATGTACAACGAAACATTTTAGATGTGGACTATGTAAAAGTGATGCAATTTAAATATTTTCAGTTATTACTATTTTTTATAGTATACTCGTTAATCTAGATACAACGTTCTGGGATAGAATATTTTGTGAATGACTGCGCAAGGATTAGTATTTATTGTTGTAGGCACAGGTAAAGACGCCTATTGTTATTTTTTTTAGGGATAAGGGTCTATAGGTAAAAGTGCAATTAAGCCTTTTAACTTTATAAAAGTACAATTAGACTCTTCAACTTGTTATTTTGAGTCAAATAAACTAAATTACAGATTATTCATATGCAATAATCGGTTAAACACAAAACGCGTTTTTACTTAGCAAGTAAAGACGCGCACGCATTAGTCTACATTTAGCAAGATAACTAACACATATAACCAACTTGGTTGGCGTGAGTGACCGAACACTTTCATATCTTAAGAGAAGTCGGGAACATTTTACCCCTTAATTGGGAGTATGGTACGTACTTAAATGAGCATTCTACAGTTTGATCAGTTATCCTATAATTACACCTCCAAATTGATTATTTTCTTTTAGACTCAAAATTAATTAAGTCACCAATTATTTCTTTCCTTTTTTACATATTTCTAAATTGAAATACTAATTATCATTGAAAAAATATATAAATATAATTAGATAGCACGCAAGTTACCCAAAGACGAATTAATTTTTTTTTCTATTACAATGTAGTATTTGTTCATATACTTTCTCAACCTACTAAAACACAAAGAACCAATAACATCTCCACTAAGGCTCAAACTCACAACCTTCCACTCGAAGTCCAACCTGGGTACCATTAAACCACATAGTACGTCTTGGTGAATTAATTTCTTTTTTTTTTTTTAATTAGGAAAAATTTTAAATTTAAAGTCCAACATTGGTTTGTTGCATAGCAATTCGCAATCAGGATGAGAGGGAGAATACAATTTTACCTTAAATACAATTCTACCTTTTTTTTTTTTTTTTTTTTTTTTTTTTTTTTTTTTTTTTTTTCAAAACAATTCTATCTTGAAAACCCCTAAAACTCCCGCAAACCCAGGATCAGCTCGTAGGATACAATGGGCGCATCGGAGAAGAATGCGACGGCGCGTGTTTCAACGCTACCCAGGGCCGGCCCTGGAGCATGGGCAGGCTGGGCCCCTGCCCAGGGCCCATCACTAGAGGGGGCCCATAAACTAAGATATAATAATATATTGTATATTGTATATATTACTTAGTATATATTAGAAAAAAATTATTTAATTATTTTTGACTTAATGAATTCTTATGGAAGTCGAATATATGGAAGATTCAGGAAGAATCGAAGAAAAGAGGCATCAGCGCATCGCAAGTTGCAACCATTCAATACCTCTCCGCCACAGCAATCGTTCAATTCCTCTCAAGCTAAATAAGAATGGAAAATTGAGGGGTGGAGTGGGGTGGGGTGGGGTGGGGGGCTTTAGGGATGAGGATTCAACCTTTTAGAAGGAGAATAATGGGCAACTGAGTGAATCGACAATCTACTTTCGTAATCCACAAATATAAAATCTTCTCTGCGGTCAGCCGGTCCTGACTCTGTTCGTCGCGCCTTCACCACTCCGGTCTACAATTGTAATTTGCAAAGATATTTTAATTTTTATGATTTGAGATTTTTTTTGAAAGCTATGATTTAGGAATTAGACCGTATTGTATTGTTAACTGTATTGTTGAAAAGTCTATGATTTGGCCATTTAGGAATTGAGATTTGCAGAATTGTAGAATTGCACTGCATTAGGAATTTGTAGAATTCTTATTTCTGAAAGCTCTATAATTTATTTAAGAATAATAATTTTTAATTGGAATTTTCATGGCTTAGTTTGCAGATTAAATAATTATCCATTTATCCAGAATTCTAAATTCTTAATTGTTAATTGAAATATTGAATAAGCAGTATTGTTGTATCTATTCCTTCTCAAAGTAAAATGGCATTTTTCAGATGCCAAAGTAATTTTTTGGTTTAATTTACTAATTACTTTGCTGTAGTGATTCATATTGCCTCCTTTTAATCTTTGTGGATTTCTCCTGTTGAATGTTGATGTCCAAATATTAATGGGGATTTATTCGGAATTAATTGACTTATATGTTATAATTTCATTTATTTATGCAAAATATTAATCTTTATTTTTGCAGAGATTGAATGATATGAATGTTTTTGTATTTAAAAAAATTGTTGAAAATTTTCTAATCATATTCATATTATTTGACATCATGATTTTATTAGTATTATTAAATTAAATTTAAAATTTTCATATAGGGGCTCTTTTTTTCAATTTCGCCCCGGGCCTATAAAATGTTTGGACCGGCCCTGACGCTACCTCTTCTTCTTCATCTTCTTCCCCAAGACATTCTCTTCGAGATCCTCTCCAAGCTCCCTGCTAAATTGCTAGTACGATTCAGGTGCGTTTCTAAACTCTTTTACGCTCTCATAGCTGATCATGGCTTTGGTGCTCTTCATCGCAGCTCGTCCCTGACACTTCCCAGTAGGGCGGGCATCCTCATCGCTATAAAGCCGCACTCCTCCGGTTCCTCCCGTGCGTTTTACACCATAAATTTCAGCGAACAAAACCCCCAGTGGCCGGGAATGCTCCAAGCCAACCGTCTCGGCTACTTGGACGCTGAACCATTTCTGAAATGCTGTCTACACTCCTCCTCGGACGGCCTGATTTGTCTGTCCAGACTCAATGGAGACGTAGTTGTTTGCAACGTTAGTACGGGACAGCGTATTTCCCTTCCAACAATCCAATTCCCTTCAGCCTGTGCACTGTTGGGGTTCGATTCACAATCTAAAAGATACAAGATTTTGATGATCGATTGGAGGATGAGCAGCTTCGGGTATAAGCATTGGGTTTTGACTGTAGGAGTGGATAAATCATGGAGGGAGATCAACTACTCTTCCCACCCCATTGTTCACCCCATTGCTGGCTATGGCTGCCCTAGCTATTCCAATACTAGTGTCTACATTGGTGGTGTTATCTATTCCTATAATTGGCTGACTAAATCTGACCTTCCAAACTTCAACATCGTAGCATTTGAAGTTGGGTCTGAGAGTTTTTCTTTGATACCATTTCCAGCTGAAGTTTCATCATCATCGCGGCATTATTCAGTTTATTCTTCAGCTTCATTTACAAAAGAATTTCACGTTCTCAGAAATGTTGAATTGCTACAAGTTGATGGAGGTCGACTGGCTATTGTTGTTGTTCGCCGGATAGACCGCCAATTCTACATGGATGTTTGGACTTGGCTGAAATCTAAAGAATGTTGGGAGAAGACTATTATGACCATTCCATTAGAAGAGATTAGAACAATCTATGCAGCTACATACTTGCGCTATACTACGAATCATGTTGGGGAGATTGTGTCATTATGTATAAATAGTAAACAAAAACGATTTTCCATTTTGGTTTGTAACTTGAAAAGTGAGGTTTGGAGGCAATTTGATGTGGGTGGAGTTGAGCGATTTCCAAATCTTTGCCCTACGGATGTTAGAATGTACGGGACTATGGACAATGTGTTTTCTTTGGAGCAGTAAGATGTTTGAATTATCAGAGAACTTTGGGGTTTGAAAAGTAGGTTTAGGTTGTGGTTAACAAGGGAGGGATCCGAGGTCAGATTTGCTGTAAAGATTGGGCAAAATGACAGCTTCAATTCACAGCAAAACGCCCTGATGAGAGAGGGCTTAACTTCATTAATTTGAGAATGTTTCCTTTATTTATATATATATATATATATATATATATATATATATATATATATTAGTAAAGTTGTCCATTAATTTCAGTATGAGAAATTCTACTTCAATTTGTTAATTTGAGAATATTTTTTTTATTAGACCACGAGATGTCATATGAGCAAGTCCTAATGGTTAGATTGAGCAAGTCCTAATGGTTAGATTGATTTTTCAATATGAGAGGTGGTTTGAATTGAACTCCCGATCTCTCTTAAAAAAATTAGAATGCACGGCCAATATAATTTTAATTTTTAATAAATATGAATATGATTAGTATATGCACAGTACGGATATCCAACTTTGGAAGGGTTTGAGGCAAACCCCTAAGTTTATTCAAAGCTAAAGGTTTGAGAAAACAATGCCTATGCAAAATTTGATCTATTGGTGATTTTTTTTCTTTCTTCTGACAGATGAACATATTTTTGGGATTCTTGCTGAACTTCATGTGCAGAATATGATGAATTATTAGCTAACAATCGTTGGATTAGTATTACTCATATGTTAGGTATTGCTATACGTGTATGAGATTAGAACTCTGTATAGTTTTTTTTTTTTTTTTTTTTTTTTTTTTTTTTTTTTTTAACAAACTCTGTATAGCTAAGTTATAATTTATTAATTAACATATTTAATAATTTGAATAATAAAATTATTTTGTAGGCATTTCAACAAAATCTGTACTCTATTAACGAAATGCTTTTTATAAGAGTGCATGTAAATTATTTGTAGATTAAATGTCATCTTTTATCTTAATTAGTTAAGTATTGTACATTATTACTTGATACATTGTCATGTAGAACAATTATCGTGATTTCAATTTTAAATGTGTGTCAATTGTTATTATATATTGTGTTGATAATAACAAGTATTGTAATGATAATTGTATAGTTTAGAGTATATTTATGTGTTATTGTGAAGAGTATATAATTGTATAGTTTGTTGGGTTGGTTTTGCATAATTTTATACAAAATTTTTTTAAAAATTAATTAATTAGTTAATTTATTTTTAAAAATTATATTGTTCACAGCCTTTTCTAAAAAGAAAGGGGCGTTGAATTATTTTTAAAACTGGTATTCGCGACACTTTCCTCTTAGAAAAAGGGTCGCGGATACCCTTTTAATAGACAAGGAGCATGAACGGAAAGAGACAATGTAGAATAGAAAAGTTTTATTCATCAACCTCCTCAATACAATGATACAACAAGTGTGTGTGTGTGTGTATATATATATATATATATATATATATATATATATATATATATATATATATATATATATATATATATATATATAGATCTTGGTTCCTGTGAGGTCAGGTCTTTCCGTGCAGTCAGTGCGGCATACACCATTAGGTATGCATAAATGCACCATACAGTGTTCGAAAATACACCAAAATAAAATGCCAAAAAATACAGCACACAAAAAAAATACACCACATATAATGGTGTATTGTCGAACACTGTATGGTGCATTTATGCATACCTAATGGTGTATGCCGCACTGACCGCACAGGAAGACCTGGCCCTATGTATATGTATGTATGTATGTATGTATGTGTGTGTGTGTATATATATATATATATATATATATATATATATATATATATATATAAAGACAATAATAATGCTGACTGCTGACCATTACAGCTGTTACGTATCGATTGCCCATAATGTCCTTAATAATAATATATTTATAACACACCCCCTTGGACATTATCATGTCATGCATAACCATGCCTAGTTAAAAACTCGCTAGAAAAATTCTTTGGGAAAAACCTAGTCGAGTAAATAGTACATGATGTATGGGTAATTCATATGTTGTTTGGGTTGCGTCATTAAAAACCTTATACAAAGAAAATCATGTGGAAAAAAAATTAGTTAAGAAAAAGAGTACAACCATAAGTTTTCAGGGCATAATCTTCCAGATTTTGTCTATTTAAGTATTTATTTGTAGTTTTCCAAATTGACATTACTATATCATACTCATGCCTCGTTAAAAACCACAATAGAAAAATCCAATAGGAAAAAGCTAGTGAGGAAAAGAGTATTGATATGTATTCATTCATGTGTAGCAAAAAATTACAATTGTTAGTCTTTAAAATCCAAACTTCAGGATTATTTAAGTTCAATTTTCAGGATTGATTCTAGTAGATGTCACTCCCTCTGAAGATAACAATCTTCAAGGTTTATATGTTCTAAAATAAAACCATTGTTTCAAAAGAGTGTAGAGAGGAGATATGATACAATATTCAAGATTGTTACTAGAGTTATTCATTTTATACAATAATCTCGTGACTCTTATGGATCGGAGCTCACATGGATTGAATATTTTAGTTATATATTTAGTCTAATATTATTTAAACATACCACTTATTATATGTATAACACAAGCTTTAATGCCCTCATATAGGATAGTGAAGGTAAATCAAAACAGAACTAGTTTGGGATTTGGCATCATGGGATAATAAAGAGTCAATACTCAAATGGTCTATGAAAGTCACACATTGGTATATCGCATAAATTTCAAAATCGTTTATAAATTGAAGATACTGGAGGATATTTAATATGAATATCATTCCGACATTTAATTGTAGGAGGAGAACTTAGTAATTTCATCGCAAGAACAATGTCAGTCCTGATGCGATTACGGAATTTCTAGTTCTATATTAATGCTCCAAAAGCAATGAATTAATGGACTTTTAGTCCTAAAATTGTCCTCATTACCTTCTTCGGGTCTAAATGGTCTCTTATCTACTTCAAGAGATTATTGAACAACTGTTAGTGTGATAAGTCAGTGGTGCATATCCATATAGAACATCTTCAAGGCGTTTTTCAATGTAGTATAACTTGTGTATAAAGCTCCTTCAAGGATATGCTTGATATTAGGCTAACACAATACTTGGTATTTCTAAGTCTTTCATTTCAAACTCCGCCTTAAGACACAAGATAATATCATTAAGCTCTTATGTATTTCAATAACTCCATTAGTAACTCTTTAATAGCACATAATGTCACATAATCATTTTTACACTACTTCAGGAGGAAATTACTCAATCTATTGCTTATTTTCTCAAGTTAAGTAAATCTTTTGTACTTCAACAACAAACATGTTGTGATATTTATTTTCTTTTAGTCTAAGAATTATAAATCCATCAAGGATTTTCTCAAATAAATATTAGTGTCTAATGAACCATAATAATTATTATTATTACTATTATTAGTATGTAATTATTAATGGTATTATTATTATTATTATTATTATTATTATTATTATTATTATTATTATTTAGTTTTGGTGTTGCAATTATAATATGAAATAATATATTATTAGTTATTTATAGATATATCGAAATGCTGAGTCGCAGTACCGATTCTGAAAGCGAAGAGGAAGATGCTCATTGCAAGTTCTGATTGTGAAATGCAGTCAATGCATTTCAATTTTAAACAAATTCATCAAATGCATGATGACCAACCACAACGGAGATGCAAGACTCCAATGCGAGATGCATACATTATCTATGTATGTACTAAACTAGTGGTGAGCAACACTATTTTTAGTTGTTGTTTGCTTGCCAAATGAACATAGCACGAGGGGAATGGGTTATTAAAAAGTACGTATTGTGGTACACACATGTGCCGAATTGATTACAATCAGGGTTGTCAAGATTTCATCTACACTAGCATAGTCATAGGTGACCTGGTCAAAGAAAAATGGCTAAAGTGCCATTTTGCACCATGAACCACAAGTGATTCTTCATGCTGCACCCTGACCTTTCATAAGTGCTAATTCAATCCACAGACTAAAATTTTTTTGTCGCCTAGTCTTTTTTGCAGGCCTCCCGGTTAGCTGATGACATGGCACCGGTATTTACTGATGTGGCCTTATTAATTTTAATTAAAAAATAAAATATATGAGTGAGAATTTAAAAAAAAAAAACAAAACAAAAAAAAAAAAAAAACATAAACAAAAAAAAAGCTCAGAATTGGGTGGCGAGGAAGAAAAAGACGTTTTGACTTGTTTTCTTAGCCACAGATGAAGAAAAAGATGGAGATGTCCGGGAAGCTTCATCGGAAAGGGTCGTCGGGACTCGGTTCCGATCATCGCAGCCGCAGCTCATCTTCGCCAAGAGGACGCCAGATCTGCTGTGACACCAAACGAGGAAGTGCTACTGCGGCCGGAGGTCCAGCCAGCGTTGCTTCGCTCACCGGAAACAGACAGCTCGCCGGTAAGATCCAGACGTGTCTCGCCACTGCTGCTGCTTCCAGGTGCTGTCGTCGTTGTTGCTGACAACGCCGCCATCGCTCTACTGCTGCCCTCGTTCACGCCATGCCTGCCGGCGAGAGTGTAGACCAAAGGCCTCCGCCGCTTGCCTTCGAAGTGGAGGTGGTGGTGGCCGGAGAAGGGGAGAAAGGGGCGGCGGTGAGGAGGTTTAGCAGGGAGGAACTAGGGAAATCGTACAAATGTTTCACGAAGTTGTCCAGGTTGTTGAAGGAATCTCCACCGTCCTTGATAGCATCCATCTGGGCTTGCGATGGATACATCCTCCATCCCCTCTTCCATCTCTCTCAATAATTAGACGTACAAAAAGACAAAAAAAAAAAAAAAAAAAAAAAAAAAAAGAAGGAAAAACCATTTTTTGTTTCTTAGCTTTTGAAACAGAATATTCATTCCTGTGTTGTTATTTTTACCCTTAAAACTCCAATCTTGAACCTCTTCTTCTCTTTCTTTTTGTTTGGTTTCTGGTGCAGAAGAATCAGATAGATGACAGAATTGAAGCTTGATGGAGTCGAGTGGTGCTAGGGTTAT